TTATTTATTTATTTATTTATTTATTTATTTATTCATTTATTTATTTATAATTGAAGAAAGTCCAACTAAATTTTAATTTTTTAAAAATTTAGTATATATATATGACACAGTAAGGAAAAAAATTTGTGCTAAATTGGAGTTAAAATTGCTATACAATTGAAGGGCTTGCCTATGACATCTTTGTAATCGATATTTGGAACTCTTACACTTCTTTCCCTAAAAAGTGAGAATACAGTAGTAGCTTTGCAATAGTTTGTAAGTTTGCACTAAATGTTCCCAATGTTATGCATGATGCAATTTTCTAAAATTTTAATTTCAATATTAAAAATTATAATGCATCAAAAAAAGTTGCTTATTGCGTTGAAATTTAATAAAGTCTGACCTGTCTATAAACATTTTGGTGCTCATTCTTCTACATGCACTTTGTCCAAATTCCATTTCTGGTGGCAGAAATTGTGCATACGCTACAAAGTATGAACTTATTTTAAGATATATTCCAACTTCTTTTTCATTCATAATAAATACAGAACTTTAAAAAAAAAAATTTGCATTACCTAAAAATTTACGCTTTAGTAATTCATGAACTTTGATTAAATCCTGACGATTCTCAAACTCTACCAACAACTTTAAACCACCAGAACCTAATAACCCAAAAAGCATAGAATTTCCAAAAGGTGATGACCATGGTAGGCCTGAGAAACGGCCAAAAGGAAGAACCTAGAATTGAAAATTATAATATTAAAAAGAAATTAATGGCTAAAGTATTCCGAAAATTGCAGTTTGTTAAATGTAAATAAATTAAGCAAAGATGACACAGTGAAGAAAATCAGTTACTAGCTGTTCCTCGTTGAAACGAAAGCTGATTGTAGCATCACTTTCGCTTAAAAGCATAACTGCTTCACGCGGCCATATTAAAGGAGCAAAGAGATCAGAGCTCACCTTAATTATTTTATATAGTCTTATATTTCATTCATTTTAGTTAATTTCGGTTAATCTGTTGCTTGAGAAAAAAGAGACGTTGGTAGTTCAGTCAACAACAAGAATTAACTAACTTTCACTTGGTATTCGTACTTTTCAACAGCCATTATCGATGAATTTACAGTTAAGTGATATATTTGTATTCAACACAAATTCTTTGCAATCAGCTTAACGAATATCAAGTTAATTGTACATTATAAGATAATACTTTTTCCCGGATCAAACTTTATTTACCAGAAAATTCTTGCATACTTTTTGGCGGTACCATTGAGTAATGTTTTTGATAATTGCCCAAGGAAATGAGCCAAATGTGTTACGAATAACAAATAAATATTACATAAACCAATTTAGATTGACTAGTCAGCAATAAAAAGCTGTATGCAAGTCAATATTATGCTTCCACCAGCGACGGAAACCGTAATACGTCAGCACACCACTCAGGAAGGACACGAAATCCTGCAGTGCTCAAGTTTAAAACAATGGTTCATCTTGTAGTACACAAAACTAGTAATCGATTTGCATACACTTTATTAATTACAAATTTAAATGTTTTTTGGGAAAATAGCGGAAGAAATAATTTTATTTACTCGCAAATTTGCAAATTTAGTACTTCAGTGATTAAACTTAATGAAAAAAAGGAAATCATTTTCTCGATTCAATAACAGTAATAATAATTCTATGGGGGGAGAGAACACAAATTTTCATACTTATTCATTAATGTTTCATAAATTTCAATTGCAATTTGCTGCAAAAAACCAAAATAGAGTAACAGTATGCAGCAAATAATCATTACAAAAGAAATATTTTCTATTTAAGTATATATCTTTGTTTTTTATAATAAAATTGCAATGCACAAAATGCTGTTATATAGTCTAAATTTCAATGTGAAAGTGAGAGAACTAAAATTTGTTTCTAGCAAGCTCTCCCACTGTTCAACAATTTTTAGCATACTGCCAGAAAATCTTTTGTTGCCTGAAATAGAAGATTAACGGTAAATGTATAGATAATTTGGGATCATTTCTGTAATATCATCGATCATTCCGAAATATTTGGGAGATTTACTTCCTGCTATCAGAAGTTAGACTCCGATAAATGTGCAATGAATGAATAAAGGTAAATTTTCCCATCCATGTACTACACATATATCAATATGCTTTCAGATGAAATGAAAAATTTCACCAACAACAATTTTTTTTTAAGTTTTCTCAAGTTTCTTAGTCTGGTAATGCGAGTTAGTGTATCAAGTGTGGCACTGTGATGTTTTGTGCACCCAAATTATTAATTTTTCAAACTAAGTGCGTCACAAAAAAGAACATTGCAATGATAAAAGAACAATTACGTTTAATTTAAAAGAAAATGGACAGTAATATTTTCAATGAGTCAAACATATTTGAATTTAAATTGCAGTAATAATAAACTTCTAAAAATTCGATATGATATCAGATTTTCAGTTTTACTGCTGGCATAAGCAATGGGAAAGCGTTCGAAATATGGCAGTTTATGGCACCTTACTTTGTACACTTCGGAATTTGACAGATCTAAAAGCACTTTGACAGTAAATGACAGGAATGTAAAATGACATTCCTCGAAAAATTAAAGAAACAAATTTCATTTTGTTTCCTAATTTGAGTCAAATTTTGCATAAATGTTTAGTTTTATGGCATTAAATATGAGCTCGATCAAGCTTAAAACTTTTAGAATCGTCATTAATATATAAATCTTATTTTATTTTCCGTTTTAAGATTTGGAAATTAGTTCTTAAATTAATGAAAAATATAAAGTTGAAATTTCCTGATAAATGTTTATTTGCTAATTTGAAATTAAAGTCACCGTTAATTGACCTGAAGGAGGGAAATTTATGATAAATAATGCATCATTATATTGCAAGCCACCCTTGTATGAGTATTACAAAAGTTAACTAGTCTTTAGATACCGTATTTTTTAGATTCAGCTAAACAGTTATAACTGAATTTGCTCTCATTATCTGCTTTAGTATATCTTGAATATTGTTTGACTTATTTCATTCTTTCCTTTGCAAATTTCATCTCCTCCAGCACCACTGCATATAACTGGTTTATCTTCTTGTTGTTTTTAAATTTAACTATATCTAGTTTTTCCACAGCGCGCGATGATGACGTTTCTCATATTTTTATTATGCTGTGTATATTTTGTTGTATTGAAGTAATATTCGTACATCGTTTTGAACTACAAAAAATGTATGTACGAATTACTTTTACAAATGATACAATTAAGATCCAAAAAAAAATTAACCTATATTTTGAACTTCTATGCAATTAAATATTCACAGAAAGTGCTGCAATTAAAAAAATATTACTTCAATAAAATATTATCTAAAGTACAACACTTCTTCTTCTACAGTTGTATTTTTGGACAGCTATTTTCATTGAGAGTGATATATTTGACTTATGTCTGTGAGATTGGAGTTGTGTCATGAATATCATGCAAACAAACATTTCTCAACAAGCAATATTGAAATAATTTAATTTTCCAATCTAATTCCCATTTTAATATTTTGAAATTTTGAATTGAGATTTTTTTTTGATATCAGAAGTTTTCAAATTTGTCATATTTCGAAACAAAAAATCAGAAGTTTACGCCATGAATGATTATTGTTCAGTGATAGAGCCGTCCATTTTCCTTTATAAAGCATGAGTAATATTTTCAAGAATTACCTTATAAATTACTTACTAACATGCCGTATACATTTGGAAAACTACATTTTTTGGAAAACATTCTAATAGGTAAAAAAAGTTTTTTGTTATTTGGTATTAGGTCACTGCATTACTCACCGCTACTTACTTTTAATTGTAAAATTATGCTGGATTGTAGTTTTAAGCAACATGTACTTCTCTTGTCTTTTACGATGAGAAACAGTATCTCTTTAAGAGTACATAAGCAACTTGGACATTTTTGAGAAATGGATATCTTATAATTACTTCTTTATGCTTGTACTCGATCACATGACTAGATGAAATGTGAACACTTTTGACAGCATATTTCATTTTGTATCTGAAACATTCCTTCCATTTTATTTGAACAAAAGACATTTACATGAATGAATGATATACATAATGAATATAAATAACTCAAAATGCACATAATACAAAGGCAAAATATGAGTGAGTACAAGATTTGTGTAGACAAATATAACACTATCTTTCACAGATATTTTTATGCTCATTTGATTTCTGTCGTTTATGCCATTTTTTTGCCCATTTGATCATAATAGTTTTTTGGATGCGCCATTCGCTTGACAACATGAAAAAATTTGTTTTCTTTATTTACAATCACAGAAATAAGCAATTTTTTGCAGCACTTAAAATTGTTATTAGTATAATGATGTTTGGATTATTTTAAAATTAAAAAAATTAGCTACTAGTCAGATATTTAAATATTGTTGCATTTCATTAATTTCATTTAACATTATTTTACAAGATAAAAACGTATTGGAAGAATGTTAAAAATGAATGGTATAATTGAATGCAATAACACGCGTGACAGACAGCCTCACTTCTGCTGCTTATATATCACAGTTTTCTTTTCAAATTTAGTGAAACACAGAAAGAAATATTTGTAAATAATAAAGAAACAAATGATGTGTGTATTAAGTGATGAGGAGTATAGTACCCATACGGTCATTAATTATGGATAGCATAGTGGCATAGCTTCAATGAGAACAATAATCCAAAATGATTATTTAGAATAGTATTAGTAATCGGTGCGTGAACAATGCAACAGAATACTTCTGCATCAATGAATAAGTAGTTTTAGAAGAGACTATAATTTCTAGTTAAGTGCGTGCAAAAATATATGATTATTGATTTTCAGCGCAGACTTAAAATAACATAATAACTATGCAAGCAAGTATAATGTAAACAAAAAAATTAATGCACTGATTAGTTCATTTAATAATCGTATTACAAAAAGGTAAACATTTGCAAATGAACAAACAATATTTATGATAATTTGAAATAAATGAAAGCTTAAAGGACAACTGAGTTTCGGATACGTGGTAGTGTAGTCCTGATTTATTTTATGCTATAACTTATACATTTAATTACATATTTCTTATCTATTGTAATTAGTTGAATGTTACAGATAACTAGACCGGTGTTTATTTACTTCATCTTTCACAAACAAAAATTAAAAATATAAACAAATGAACAGCAAAAGTTAACGTAATACATAATTTTTATAAATAAAACCAATAGTTGTTCATAATAATATAAAAAGAATATCTATTCAAACCAAAGTTAATGTTTTTTTAGATACTAATATGTGATATTTTCATTTTTTCAATGAAGGTATAAAATATTTTTATGATGTATTTATTACAAAGTTTTGCGGCAATAAATTTATTTTTGATTCAATATATTATTTGGATAAATTATTAAATAGCAGTAAAACCTAGGAATAATTCAATAGTTTAATTATAGTGATTATTACTTGCTTTACTACTATGATTATTATTTAATAATGTGTTGACTTTTAGCGAACACAACCATTTTATACAGAGTAGTAAAAAAACATCAAAGGTTGCTGCCAACAAATATCAATCAGTTCACAAACAACAAATGGTGTGATTATTCTCGCATTTCGAATCTAAGAAATCTAATGTGATCATTTGTTATAACTGATCATGCATTAAGATGATCAGCTCTAAACAATCAATCAATATGATTAAGTAGTAAATTATTTGTCGATAATGAAAGATTAGGTTGGAGAAGAAGAGGTTTGGTGTAATGAACGTTGTGATGTAACGAAGGAAAAAAGAGGCATTCATTTCTTGATGTATTCCTTGGCAGCAGTTCCAGGCGGAGCTGACTGATAATTTGACCCTTACCAAAGCTCATTTCTTTATGCCATTATGTCGCATTATGCTTGATTCATGATGACGGGTTTTTATTTTTTAAATTCTTCTCTTTTATCATCATTAATATTATTGTTATCAATATTATTATTGTTATTATTAATATTATTACTATTGTTATTGATTGGATTAGAATTGTTAATCTTGAAAGGTTGCTCTGAACAATGATGATTATCCGTTTTTAATTATGATTGTAAACCACAACAAACTTATTGTTCATTTATTCCTTTCATCTTCAAATTAAATACATCAATAAACTTAACTTCTTCTGTGCTATCTTCTCCGTTTTTGAAATGCATTTTTGCCATATGGCTATTTTTTTCCACTTAAAATAATCATGAATAAAATTTAAACTGATAGCAGTGCAGAAAAATAAGCTTATTTTTTGTTGTGTTTATTTTGAAATACTTTTTAAAAAGCAAAAAAGTAATCTATTGAAAACAGAAAATAAAACTGCCTTAAGTTGAAACCAATGATGAAATTGAATTGTATTTGAGGCATTATTTAAATGCTGAAAGAATGAAGTTGAAGTTTGATAATATAATTTAAAATAACAATATTACTGCATTCGATTTTGTTAAACATTAATTTATTTTCCTATAAAAAATAGTTCAAAATAAGCACACAAATTGATTTTGAAGTCATTCTAGTGAAATATTTTATCATCAGAGTTAATTTCATTCAAATCTTTTCAAGCTTGTTAGACAAACTCTTTTCTTTTATGTTAGGATGTAATTACAACAGTTTTTCTTAGTTCCTTTTTGCTTTCTTCTTGCTTTCCCATATTAATAAATTATTTTAGGAGAGTAAATGGGATATTATTACGATAATAAAAAGTAGTAAATAGTTCTAATACTAATTGTAAGCCTCTTAATAACACTTGTATACACTCAGTACTGTTTTGAAAGTTTATAAAATTTACTTTAACTTCTTCCATTACAAAATCGGTTTTGTTATTAATATTTTGCTATATTATTATAATATTATATTTGTGAATTTCCTATTTTTTGCTTGACGGAAGTGTAAGAGATGTACTTAAAAAGCTTAGTTTATCTTTCATGGTAAAATTTACTTTAGTCTATTTCACTTGATGATTACACGATTAGAAGCAAATTCAGATCTGCTTTGCTTAGATTAAGTGATTGCATGAAAATAAATTTCGCTCTTTCTTAATATTTTAACAGTTACAACATAAAAATTGATATTCGTTTTGATAAACTTTTTGCCAACGAATTACGTTCATATTGAATTGGATTATCAGTATATTACATTGTTTGGTAACCCTTATGAATTACCATTTTTCCTGATCCTTTTTAGTCTTATTAAGAACTTGCTTATCAGTAAAATATTATGAATGAATTGCTCAGTTTATGACATTTTTCATCTTTACCAAAACTTCGTTTTTGACATGAAACTCATTTGCTGTCATTTAGTGATAATGATATTGATAAGCAGAATAAAAGTCTTATCGTCGATAAAATCTAATAACTGTATTTGCATTTTATTCATGAATTTGTGCTTTCATTGGATGAAATTGGTAGATTACTAGTACGTTAAGAAGTGTTAAAAATTACTCGGTGTTTTAGTCAAAGTTAGTGAAAAATTTTTTTGAGATTATAGAATAAAATTATTGGAAATGTTTATCTAGCACGGTACTGCAAATTGTCAAGTGTTATACTCTTCCAAAAATTATCAATTTTCATTTATTGTAAAGATTAGAATATCTTGAACAATTACTTGTGATTTCGTTTTTACATTAACCCTCTGATTGTTCTTATCTCGTACCTTACCGTGCTTGTTTCCCAAGTAGCGAGGGTTTTTCGCCCACACAAGTAAAAATGTAAAATTGCAAAACTCACTGCAAGCTCATAATGACAGCTATGATTTTGAAAATGGGAAAGATAAATTATTGAAATAAAAT